CACACACACACACACACACATACACACACACACACTGACACACACACACTGACACACACGCGCACACAGACACACACACACACACAGACACTGACAAACACACAGACACACAGAAACAGACACACACACAAACACACACACGCAAACACACACACACAAACACACACAACGCACACAAACGCACACACACACAAACACACACACAAACACACACACACATACACACACACACACACACACACACACACACACACACACACACACACTAACCTCCACCATGTGTGTGGAGATAGCTATAGCCTGTAAGCTCATTGTGTTCGCCGTCGACTTCAAAGAAAAAGAGGAAGATAATTACGTACTTAAAAGACAGAATACAAAAACATATAGGTAGGAACAAGAACTCTAGCTGAGTACGTCTCCAGAGATGTTTTAGCGTTGGTACGTGGCACTCACTCTCTGTAGGTAGCAGCGCTCACGCAGTAAATACTAGCGGCATGGAGATAGTCAGGTGCTTGGCGAGGTCTTGACGCTCTCTCTCGTACTCAAACCTATCCTAGATGGTGGTTGGAAGGCTCTACTACACTGCCTTAGAATTACAAAATAGTAACTCAAAACAGCTAAAAATGTCAGATAAAACTTGGTAATTCTAAGGTAGCAATTGGTAGGTCCTACTTCTTTTTTTTTAACTTCCTGTCTTTTTCTGTTGTTTTTTTGTTGTTTTGTTTTGTTTGTTGGTTGTTTTTTGTTGAGTTTTTTGTTGTTTTTTTTGGGGGGGCGGGGGTTAGGGGTTGTTTTCTCGGCGTTGCTGTTTGTTCTTTTTTTGTCTCTAAGTTTTACTTCTTTTCTGCACAAAATGACCATTATTACGTCAACGTGCTTTATATTTACTCAAACTCAAACTCCTCAAGAATTTCTTGGTACAGAGGTATAGTGCGAGTGGTTAAAGATCATCACATTTAGTCCCTTCTGCTTTTTTCCTGTTATGTAGTTTCTGTCTGTCTTACTGTTTATTCCTTTATATTATGACAGTTATGTGTTGATCTCCTTCTCTTTACTCAAATCAAAACAACTACATGTATATAAATAACGAGTGAAATTGCGCTGTGCTGTTCGTAGACTGAATTTAGATTGTACAAAATAGGGCTGTGGAATTTATTCTACCTTGAGCATAATTTCAGCTTCATTTACTCAACTGCTAAATTCCCAATATTTTTATTATTTAAATCTCCCATGAAGCACAGTACGCTTCGATCAATTTCAGAACGACAAAATGATCAAGGCGGAAGGGGGGGGGGGAATAAAGGGACAAATAAACTTAGCGATGTTAAATAAAATGTTAATATTGAGGACTCCATTGTTTGATGCTGCTGATATGTGATCGGTTGAAAAATGTTTTACCGTCTTACGAATGCGCTTTTCTAGATTGTATTGTACATGAAGATGTTTTACGCCGCCCCGGACGGAAATGATTTCTAAAAGTGGTTTGGAATTCATTTCTTTTCTTTTTTCAATGTTTTTATAAAACTTTTGTTGTGTTTTTTTGTTGCTGTTTTAGAGGTGATGTTTATTTGTTCTTGATTGTTTGTTGTTGTTGTTTTGATTTGTTTTGGTTTGGTTTGGTTTGATTTGGGTTTTTTGGTAACATGGGGGGGGGGGGTTGTTTGTTAGTTGTGATGATTGCAACTCTTTCTAATGCTTCCTTGTATGTATCGTTAGCTTAAGTGCCTCTATAAATTCCGGTTATTGAAGTGGAAGAACTATTGTCTATACTGAGAAGCCTTTGGGTTTGTTTTTTCTTTTAAGTGTGTTTCTGTCCTTA